CGATACAAAACATATTCCTCCGAACAAAACAACTATCTACAAACTTAACTGGCCATTTGAAAAAAAAATATTAACCATGCAACAAGCAAAAATGAGACATGCATTGAGTGACAACTGTCCTAGTTAATTACCTAATAGTGTAAGCAACAGATTGATCAACGACACGAGATAATCCGTGTTGAATCAATGCACTTAATTTGTATTTTTAATTGCTAATTTCTTCACAACGACACATATTTCACACTTGAAATGTGTGTTATTGCTGTAATCATACTAAAAAGTCATCTGGTGGAACACGTAATAATTTTTTTTTTCGATGAAATTGTGGTTAATTTCGGGTAACATATTATTTAAATGCTGAAATACTTAAACTAAACTTACTTAAGTATTTCCTCTTTTGTTAAATGATATATTTAACATATACACTATATTCTGAGTACTATTTCAACAACAAACAAAGAGCGCAATAATTTTATTTTTCATATTGAAGATTCCTTGTACAAAACGATGTCTGGGGGCACATAATTTAGAAAATACTGACCATGGGAACATGATTGTAAAAAATAATGGTTTCCCTGTAATTTGCAAATAAATTTAGCCGTGTGTTATTCCGTTAACTTAAACTCGTTAACTTAAGGCCTTTTTTGATACTGAGTTCCCCACTATAAGCTACCTTAGAAAGATTTAAATCACCGATAATGCATATAATTAATAAAAGATAAAAGATTTTTAAGTATTGATTTTACAGCAAAAATGTAAACATGCAGATCATACAACACTTGTTATACAGAAGATTTTCAGGCAATGCTTTTCTATAAACGGATATTTTTTATAAGCAGGCCTAGCTATCACAGTGTTGCTTGGGTTATTTGCGGAGGTTAATTTCACAATGCTGTACATAGCTTATTAAGGTAATTGTTAACATAATTTATAATTGATCAATACAAATATGATCACAGGGGATTGTCGCATGAACATTCATCTTTCATCATTTGCTTTTAACAGATATGTTCAATGTAGTTTCGTTAATGTAATACTTCAGCTATTTTCTATCGACTTTGTACTCATATCAATACAATCTCACATTGGAAGCAATATTATGTGTCAAGTTGATACTTTACTCTTGTGTTTAACAAAGCTGGACACAAATGTTCGAACATTGTACAACTTGCCGCCTTAGATAAAGTATGCACCACATTTTCGTTATATAATACTTGTAAACAAAGACGTTTACCAACTAGTAAATCATTCCATTTTGATTTCTGTTTGTGGTTTGTTTAAACAATCACCCAACTTTTTTGATATGTCAATTGTTTACTACCAAATCACTTTAATATTCGTCGGTAGACTGTAGAACGATTTCTCAGTCTTGTGTAAATTGAGTCGAGGGGAAATGCATTTACTGGGTTCAATGTTAGATTATATTGTCATTACAAGAACGTTTTCAATAAAGCAAAATTAACCGAATAATTAGGAAATATTGGCAAAAATTCCTGTATAGCAGACATCAATAAAATGGAAAGGTCATACCCTAGACTCCTGTTTACAACAATAGAAAGAATTTTAAAGTATTTTAAGTTCCTTTTGGTGTCTATCTCTAAACTTTCAGCCATCGTGAACATAACTTTGCGGGTCATTCATAACACAGAGTAAGTATATTAAGAAGGTAATATGATTTAACAAAACACATGGTTGAGAAATTTTGAACTAAATGATTACATTTTTATATTTTTTCCCTAATGTTTAATGAGGTATAGTAGCACCATTAAGATGTTGTTGCAAGATTTTGACTTTATTGATCAGGATATGCTTCTTACTTTTTATAAATCAATTTTTCCTCCACTGTTATGTTATGCTGTATATGGTGGTCCCCATATTCATACAAGACAAATATGCAATTTAAAATCCGTTTAAGGTTGCCACTATATTTATTAAGGATATAAGCCATTTAAGGTATATATCACGTTCAGTTGGATTACAGGCTATACCGACGAAACTTTAAAACGTATCGATGATACCACCTAGATGAAAATAGTTGAAAGGTGTAATGACCTGTCAGATTTAAATATTTTCAGTTGTCACTGAATGCTATTAAGACAGCTTTGAATAATGAAAATTGGAATTCGCATTGGTTTATATTTTTTAAAATTTGCGCCCACCTAGTATAACCATTTTTATTTTTATAAGTATTTTATTAACCCCATTATTTTTTAATGCGAAAAGAAAATTTAACCACGATATTTCTCAGATAAAGGTTTGTAGATGCCTTTGATTAAATTTTGACCCGAAGGCAAATGTACTTAGGCACATAGGTACACATGTGAAAGCGCTGCCAAAGCCGACAAATGTAGCATTTTATGTACATTAAACTAGAAGGATGACAAAATGTCATACATGTTAAGCGCATCAATAATGATCAACTCTGTTCTTAACAACATAAAGCATGAGAATAGAACAGAATTTATTGGAATTTTATGCGACAGTCATATAAATGAGAGGTTTAGCTAGCTATAAAACCAGGTTTTATCCACCATTTTCTACATAAGGAAATGCCTGTACCAAGTCAGGAATATGATAGTTGTTTTTTCATTCGTTTGATGTGTTTGAGTTTTTGATTTTGCCATTTTATAAAGGACTTTCCGATTGGAATTTTCCTTTGAGTTTGGTATTTTCGTTATTTTACTTTTTGCTAAACAAGAAAAGAATTTGAAAAGTAAAAGGAATGGATATTCAGGGGAGAGAGTTTATATTTTAAGTGAAATTTTAATGGGACATAATCGTGCAGGGTGGAATAAGCCATTAGCTTGACTAGATTATGTTGTAAACGAGTGCCAAAGAAAGAATATGGTAAAAGAGAGGCGAAAGATACCGAATGTATATTCAAACTCATAATATAAATAAATAAGAAGATGTGGTATGAGTGCCAATGAGACAACTATCCATCAAAGTCACAATGTGTAAAAAGTAAACAATTATAGATCAAAGTACGGCCTTCAACACGGAGCCTTGGCTCACACGGAACAGCAAGCTATAAAGGGCCCCAAAAAGACTAGTGTAAAACAATTCAAACAGGAAAACCAACGGTCTAATCCATATAAAAAACGAGAAACGAGAAACACTTCTGAACCACACTAACAAACGACAACCACTCAATAACAGGCTCCTGACTTAGGCCAGGTTCATAAGTCGAAAATAAACTGACAACGAATATAGGAACACTTATTTGTAAATAGAAAATAAGTTTTGAGGTTTAGATATAACCAGTTCCGTTAATTATTCAGATGTTTGCAGAAAAACATCAAAACTCAATAATCTAATATTCGTTATGTTCATATATATTTAACTCGATAATTATATATCATGATATTTAGCCCAAGGTATTGCATACAGACAAGATCATATACTTAAAAAACTTAATTGAAATAAAATACTACTTGATATTAGGCTAAATACGTTTAAAACTTGGTTATCTATGCTTTTAAATCAGTTGAAAATAGTTATGTTTATGAAGATGATAATTGCCATGTAACGTAGACATGTTTTCGTAGACACGGATAAATACACTGTTTATATTGTAATTCTGAATTCTGAACTTAATTCTCATGTATACGATTTGTGTAATTAATTTGATTAAGAAAGAGGAAAGGAGTAATGATAATACATAACATATCATGTACAATATTCCTGGGCATTTATTTGTTATCTTATGGAATTTCACTGATAAACATCAAAGCGGAAGTTGGTGATTAAAGAGTTCTAAATGGTAGCAGTGTCTTTTCATTTTTACTTTTTATTGTCCATTTTTATCTTTTTACTTATTTAAGTATCTTACGGTATGCTATCATAAGTTCCTTGATACAGTATGTCTGCCTACAAGGAAGCTATTGAACCAATGGTTCAAAGTGGTAAAGTTTATTTCATCCCTTTGAAAGTTTACGGACGCCATTACGAGTTGGTTGACCACTGTGGAATATCTGTCACAGATGACAACGGATATGTTCCAATTGTCGTAACCACAACCCCGTACTCTTTTCTTCCATTGTTGCATCGCCAAATGAAAATTATCAACGATTTTATACTTGTCCCGAGCAACACGACGGGTGTCACATATGAAGCAGGATCTACTTGCCCTTCCGTAGCACTTGAGACCAACACTGTTTGTTCAGTGGAATTCGTATTGCTCACAATTAATTAGAAATGAAAAAACGCATATTCTGATTGCGACCGATATTTGATGAGTTTTTACAACTGCAGTGGCAGTGGCATCAACCCAATGGTATAACCAGTCCAGTACCAAGGTGTTGACATAAAACATCATTGAAACTGTCATTCTCTTTAAATTTTCTGTTTTTTTTTTAAATATTGAATTCTTTGAAAAACTATTGTTTTCTATCAAAAAGCATAGATGGCCTTAGCCATATTTGGTAAAACTTTTCAAAGTATATGGTTTTTAATGCCCGTCAACTTCGTTTATGTCTTGTCAATTAATTTGATTCGAGTGCCACTGCTGAGTCTCTCGTCTGGCATATTTGTCCTTTTCAACTGCAACAATAACGGCGATTGTTTTTTTTTTTTTTTTTTAAATTAAACTATAAAAAACCAAACTACATTTTTTTCTCATAAGTTATAGACATATCCTTTGTAAATTAGTTTGTAGAAAGCGGTAATTTTACGTAATGAAATTATATGCATATAGTGGCATTTTGGGAAACTATGAAAGCTTCAATAGAGGGTCGGTTCCAGACAATTTTCATTAATTGCAGTTTAAATTAATGAACACATTTCCCTTGAGCTATAGACGATACATTCGCTTAATTTCGGGCAAATAAATATTGATCCACCTAAAAAAACATTATAAAGCAATTCTAATTTTGTTAAGGATTTTTAAGACTTGTAATTTTACGTTAATATTGCGTGATTAACCTCTTAATTTGCCTTAGATTTAGAATTATTGTATTATCTTCTATGAGATACGAATGATTTTTTGAAAACAAATATATATATATATATATATATATAACGCAAAATCTTTGCTGATACATTACTGTCTTGCAAGACATTCATTCTACTTCATTAACATCAGTAAAGTTGTTAAATCAGCAGAAAGGCGCGTCTGGCATACAATATTTTAAGTATGGTGTCTTTGATGAGTTTGTTTACAACCACTGGGTCGATGCCACCGTTAGTGGAGGTTTCTTCCCCGTCGGTATCACAAGCCCAGTAGTCAGCACTTCTTTTTTTTGACATGAATTAACATGGATATGGTCAAAATCATAAATTACTTGTTCACAAAACTTAGAATTTTTCGAAATACTAAGGATTTTTTACCCCAGAAATATATTACCTTAGCTGAATTTGGCAAAACCATTCGGGATTGTAGGTCCTCAATGCTCTTCAACTTTGTACTTTAAATGGCCTTCTTAACTTTTTTGTTCGGTCGTCACTGATGATTCTTAATCAATATTTTTCAATATTTTCGTAGTATTGTTTTCTTTTAGAAAACTCGTTCATCCAACAATTTTTAAAACTGTTTATAACTTTTTAGCGTTGATGTAGAAAAAACAATATGGCAAATTCGCATGATATCATCTTACATGGAAAGATTGATAATGGTAATAGAAAGATGAAAATCAGGGTTATTGGGCCACAAGAGATTAATTGTTTACTTCTGTTTTTACGACCTTACATGCCATCAATACTCGGAGCAACAATGACAGTCAAAACCACAGTAAAAGAACACGAATTACCAATGGACTTTGTTTCTGGATCAGGAAATTATTATTGTTTTGATATCTATGGATTGAAAAAGGAAACAGAGATGGAAGAACATTACACATTGTTAGCCTATGGATGCACACGATTTTTTGGTAAAAGTATAACATATTGTTATTGACTGTGTCGACTTTAGAATGAAAAATTTGTAATAATAGTAATAATAACAATACGAAGAAGAATATGAATGATTATAGAAAATAAATATTTTCGACAAAGAGTAGTAGACATACCTTTCATAAAATGAATAATTGTTTGTATGTCATTAAAACATATGCGAAAGGCCCACTGACACGCCTGTGATCAGATACATTACTGATGAAAATGTTTATTTTTTATAATTTGACTTAAATTTTAGGTGACAAAATAAGGCACATCTCATACTACAGTGCTGTCAATGAGTTAAATACGTCGTGAAACGAGCCAACTTCCCCTTAAAAAAACATTTGAAAATGGTAACATTTCATATACAATATCAATTGAAACAAATTATTCACATATCTAGTTTCATACTTATATATGATATTGTTGAATGATTTCTGGGACCAAGCAGTCAATGACAGTTATATAATAATTGTCTGTAGGCATAAAGAATAGTCTCCAGGGATGCACGGACCTATTAATTATAAGAAGAAAAAAACATTGGTGTGATTTCCCCAAATGCTTACAGCTTTAACATGTTAATGAAATTCATTTAGAAAGCTGTACTGTATAATATCATTATTGGAATCGTATTCTACATATTGAAATCCAGAGCATACATTTCATATTGCTTATTTGTAATAATTCTAAAGAAGTAATTCTATTTTCAGTTGCGAAGATGAAAAATGGAAAAGACTTAGATATTCCAATACGATTAAATGAAGTAAAGTCTTTGCAATTTCCTCTGAAAAATATCAAAGAGGTAACATTTGTATGCAATCTATAATTAAGACCATATGATATTTGAAGCTTCCAATGTCAATTTATTACTAAACACCCCAGTGCATTGTTAGGTTCCTGCTCAAGTATTTCTTTTCCATTTGCTAAGATATAAAAAAAAGGTTAAATCAATGATATTCGAATCTGCGAACAATATTATGTCAACCAAGGAGATTTATGAAGTCATTGTTGAAAACGACATATATATATATATATAGACATTTTACTCATCAGATATCAAATGATATTATTCTCAGCTTTTCCCTTCCTTCAGCTTACTTATCAGTATTTATGCTACCAACAACTTATTTAGTTTATCATTCAAAACAAGTGATATGAAAAGAAAATGACATTTCCGATATTTACAAATGCCCTAAAAAGTATTCATCTTTACTCATTTTAAACCAATTATTTGAATAATGAATGATTCCGAAATGAAAATACAAGAACAAATTAACTAAGATAAACCGCTTAATTTGCCTATTTGTTTTAATTTTTCATTTTAGGCAATTTTTCCGATACAAGTCGACCATAGACCTGTATCAAGATATACATTTTACAACAAAACCAAGTTTACATTTGATAAAATATGGATAATATTTTTTAAACAATCGAGAGACCAATTTCATGTTTTTATTCATGTCGGACAAAAATTGGATTTTACATTGCCTTTTGACTTGCCCGTTGCTACAGTTTGTGGAGTAAAGATTATCGTTGGATGTATTTTATTTGATAGCAAGACAATCCGATTATCAACAATAGAAATAAACACCAAAACAACTAATTTTAAAACATGTAAGTATAAATATTTGTTTATATGTGAGTGATTTATGAAGAACTTTTTAACGATTAACATATTTTATGATTCTAGTTTGATAATTAGTTAATGATTTTACAAATTTTATACCAAATTTTCCTAGTTTCTCAAACCTTTTCAATCTCTGTTTTAACAGTGTATAAATTACATTTTATATTTTAATCAATAGACGATACGTGTGAAGAAAGAAACGTGCATTTAAGATTGATAAGAGTGCTTGTCAGTTGCACGCCAAGGTTTTAAAGTTTATCTTTAATTTTCTCATACTTTAAAATATCGAGTTCACTTAACAAACCAGACACCTTACTCACAGTTTACTATCATATATTACATTTGACAAACAGAAATTCGATAAGGCAATTTTTCATCATATTATTCGAAAACTTAAAGGTTAAAAATCTCTGAAAAAACACCCTTCAGATATTCTGCCTTCAAATTATTTGTATTTCATGGAAAACTTTAAATTTTACCAATTTAAAAAAAGAGACGAAAGAACCAAAGGGACATTCAAACTCATACTCGAAAACAAGCTGACAATGCCATGTCAAAAATAAAAACGACCAAACGACAAAATACAGTACACAAAGCTCAACATAGAAAACTAAAGACTGAGCAACATGAACCCTACCAAAAACAGGGGGTGATTTCAGGTGCTCCGAAAAGGTAAGCAAATCCTGCTCCACATGTGAAGTTGTCATTGATATTTAGATATGGGCAAATGCTTTACATAAACAGATGTTTAGTTACAAGATACATGTATCTTATAAAGATTTGTTAAGGGTAAAGTATCTTCTTTAGATGACCTTGGCACATAACTTATTTCTAAAAATAACTATGTGTTAAAAAGCCTTTTAAGGTTCAACAAGTTTATGACGTCATACTGATATCACAACTGACTTTTCAGTACTGAAATGTACTTATTATATCATTTCTTTTCATTTATCATTATTTAGAAATTGACGACTCTAACGTTTTTGCAATTTCAGGAACAAAATAATGGCTCTTATCATGCCTCCTCTTTTGGCAATAAAATAAATGTTAGACGTTTCATTTATTGCTCTATTTGTTTGAACATGAGTTAGATCTATAGTTCTGATATTAGCTTACCTCGTCTAATCTTTGTCAATGTATATCAGTTTTGAAATGTTTATATTTTCAATCACATATTCTTATTTCATAGATTAATGTTTTTAAATTTGATATTTTATTGTTCGTGTTAGTAGCCATGCAAACGAGATAAGTAATAACATATAAATTATTCATTTGATTTCAGATTTTACAAAGGCAGAATATGAAACACTTTATAATAAGGCAATTGAATTTATAAAAACAAGGAAAAGTCATGTCCGCTCTATTGAGTATTTCTATAGAAACAAATCAGAACAATATTTTGCTTCGATTACAGTAGACCATAGTGGTATAATGAAACCATACAAAAAAGATCTTAACGGTGATCCTTGCTCTGTAATAAACGGGCGATTGGATGGTTTGTTTTTCAGTACAACTGTAGATTTTCAGACAAACCAACCATTTAGATACTCTCCGTTTGGACCGCTCAGATTGCATATAACTGCCAGTTTTTTATTCATTCCAAATCTTAATCTTTACTTTGCTGACTTTTATTGTCATTATAAAGTTCATTATGTAACTGTGATTCTGACCAGAAAAGATTCCTTGGCAGACAATTTCTGTAAGGAACGTCTTAAGGAACTCGATATACAAAATAATCCATTCATCTATCTAAAAACATCAAAAACATTAAATAACATACTGGTGCGTCATGGCAATGGTATGAGAATAGAGGTTCTATATACGGAAGACCTGAATATTCATGAAATAATCCAAAATCAACAAGGACATTTCGAACGAGTACCTGTTATAGGTAGAGGCGAAAGTAGACCAAACGGCATTCCTAAGAATAAAAACTGTACAATTTGCAACTTATAAGATGTAGAACATTAATTTGTATTATACAGGCGTAGTTGTTACGATGCCCAAGAAGAACATGTTCAAGTGGCGCTGGCGGGAGAACAAAATTTTGCGGCAAACAAACTTTTTGGTTACTGTTGTTTGTCATATGTTATGCATAGAAAAAACCAGTTCAATCATTTTGTACCTTGACGTTGTATGGGTTTTTATAAACTAGAACGTCCAAGTAGGTCTGGATGTCCTCCATCATACATTTGCTAGGGATTCTTGTAAACTTATGATTAAATACATAAGATACATTGAATATTATTTTATGTTTGCAATCGTACAGATGATTTTTGTTTATTATTCCTATCAAAATGTCAATAACACTTATTCAATTGTATGCGTCCGAAGCGCTTTTCTGGATTGACCTTCATCAGGAATGCTAAAATTCGGATGGATAAATACCGAACCGCACTAATGAGGAGCTATACAACCAAAGGGACCGAAAAGTATTAACCAAATCAAGTAATGTGTTAGCCGTCGTTTTCAAGTATTCTGCTCACTGAAGATTTTTAATTAAACATATTTTGGATAAATTGTCTTTTCCCCATTTATTTCCAAATGTATGATACTTGTAGCAATACACAATAGGTGTGTTCGCCTGGATACTTTCCGTGGACTATGAATGTTATTTGTGTTCGTCTTCATAATACGCACGGTGCAAAGAATTTTTTGAAGTATATCTGCTTGTGCAGGCTTTTGTCCTTTGTTATACAATCTAAAGATGAAGATATTTTACAAATTTGTGGTTTTCAAATTAGATTTGTCGAAAATGTCAAAATATCCACTCCTGTAGTCTATATATCCATAGACAGTAGTGCTATTCCAAATTCATATTGTTTATCAAATGACTACACAGTAACGTGAAAAATCTACGGTTGATGAAATTTTACAATAACTGTCCATATTACAGTCCAGCTGTCAACACTTTTTTCCGTTTATCAAATATCCCCGATACGATCGATCATTTTTATATAAAAAAAGACTTTTAACAAAATGTGAAAATCATTCGAAACACAAAGGATTTCCTTTCCACATGCATTAGTTGGCCGTAGCCGTATTTGTTGCAATAGCGTCGTAATTGATTTCATTTGAGTCCCACTGAATTATCATATGTAGATGAAGTGCGCGCCTGGCGTACACAATTATAAGCCTGGTATCTTTGATAATTTTATCCTGTGTAGTGACTGTTATTGACAACAAACGACACACTTGGAAATGTCAACTGGAGGCCTTAAAATAGAAAATAGGTTTGGGAAGATTATATACATTCATCACTCATAGTTTTGGTTTGCTTGCCATGCAAGCTTACAAAGTTGTATATGATACATTGCTAATTTAGTTAAACGTAATTGTTGATCTTCAACCATTTAAAACACTGGCCTTTATGATTGTGAGTTCGATCAATATGATTTCAGAAAAATATTTTTCTTGATTTTTCGTTTTAACAAATAGTCAATTACTGATGACATTTTGTTCGTTTACCCTATTATACCTACTTTTGCCTTGTATTAAGGACAGAATTCAGACTCCAAATTATGTAACCACATTGTTTAATCCTGAAATTAGAGGCCGTAGAATATTATTTTAAATTAACTATTATGTTAATGTCTGGGCTATAAATCAGATAAATAACTTAAAACTTCGACCTTTTAGACATTTTAATGTATGAAAAAACTGCAGCATGAGATTTACTCACAAATCTGGAAGGTAAAAAAGGGGAGGTATCATGAATTAAGAGTCATTATAAGGACCCCAAAATTGCACACTAATTAACATAATTGGTTCTTTTCAAAATTATGTACACTGGTTTGCTAAAAAAATATTATGATATAATCTGGCCACAATTTAATGTCATGACTTTTCGAAATTGATACATTTTAACTGAAAGGGCCATGTATTCTTAATAAATTAGATTGATGTTTATCCACATCTCTTTTAATTCATTGAAACATTATATTGTTGTATATCATGAAAAACCTCAAAGATATTCCTCTAATGTCTATTGCCAATTATAATTATGTTAAAAAACGAATAAATGATTTAGGCAAACTAATATAGTGTTATGTAACTGTACGACCAAGTTTTACATATTCCGGATCGGATTCATCATCTTAACAATATTAGCATGTGTAAAAGTTTCTTTTTATCCATTGCAGGATAGAGGAACTTTATTGAAACAAATATATAATATTTATAACAATTCTTTAAACACCTAGAAAACTTGTAAATGAAAATAGTTAGACTGCATTTTCTGTCAAAAACTAACACATGTAAATTTTAATATAAATATAGTCAAAACAAACTATACAAATAATCGACAAATTTTGTAGAAAATGTGTTTATACAATATTATCAAATTGGTTTAAAGTAATTATTGTGTATGGTTTTTTTTTGTCTTTGTTGACAACATTGCTTTTTTGTTTTAACTTTTTCATTTTTTAAAGTAAATGCATAAGGGAAAACGATAGTATTTTTCTCCATAGACGACAACGCTAACATTTTCTAAATTTGCCACTTTTCATAATAAAATCCTTGACAAAACAGTTAGTACTTTTTTATTCTGTTTTAGAATTTGAAGTCAAATGATTGCATGACCATTTTCGAACGAAACTTGTTTAAAGTATCCATGGCAACCATCATTTTACATCAAATTTATGAAAACTTCTAAGCCTTTTCAAATAATTCTCAAGAAAATTAAAAACTGCAGTTATTTATAAATAAATAGATAAAATATCATACCCTTACATCCAATCACAGCGCTCCAAAGTTGACTCCATTCACTTGCTGTGGGTACACAAAAGTCCAACCTAAAGCCGGGAAAATGTAATACTTCTTTTTTTCCCATTAATCAGATCGCATTTTAGCCTACAGAAATATTGCTTATTTACTAGATATATCCTGGACTGTTTTTGAATAAAACTTGGACATATAAAAATTAATTTACTCTCAAAATGACATAACTCATCCAAATATAAATATTTCTGTAAAATGCCTACAAAGG